CTGGGCGAAATAACACAGAATAATGATAATAATGATAATAACAATAGAATTTATAGATGATTAGGATAATAAGTAACAGTAACGACAGTAATGACAAGGATGATAATAACAATAATGAATATAACAACAATAAAGATAATGATAAAATTCCAATATATTTGGGCAGGATTTTTACACCTTCCACTCAAAATGGAGAGTTCCTAATCACGTAAGTCGTTTTTAAGTACTGTTAATGCACGACGTCAGTTTGGGATGGACGATGGTCTTTGGGATGGACGATGGTCTTTGGGATGGACGATGCCTTCAATGTTTCCCGCATTTGCAACGTACACGTCTTGTGGGTTTTATGTAAGTGTGTGAGAGAAGGAAACAGGCATCAGAGGGCTCAACTACATCTGCATTAATTCTCTTCTTCGTGTGTGTGTGTGCGTAAATATATGTATAGATATGAATATATATATATTCCTTCCTCCTCCTTTCTTATTTCTCCCCTCTCTCCTCTATTCATTAATCTTTCGACATCATCCTTTCCCTCTCTTCCTCTTTTCTCTCCTTTTCTCCTTTTCTCTCCCTCTTCTCCCTCCCTTAAACACTAACACACATAGGCTCATAGTACAGAGTCTTCATACATGCTAACATTATTGAAAAGAAGTTTTGAACCTCCCTAGCCAGTTAGGTGGCGAGTGCAAGGTTGTTTATGGCTTACAGCGTAGTACGAGTTGCAGTAAATCACACTGGATTCTAATTCCCTACCATCAGTGGATGTTGCATCTAATTTGGTTCTATTAAGTGTGCAATAAAAATCTCTCCATCTCTTCTAAAGATATTTGCCCCTCTTCCCAGACACCCCACCCCATGTGTGTGTGTGTGTGTGTGTGTGTGTGTGTGTGTGTGTGTGTGTGTGTGTGTGTGTGTGTGTGTGTGTGTGTGTGTGTGATCGGGGAGGGAGGGGGAGTGTCTGGGAAGTTCCACCATCCAGAATACTGGAAATATTTGTAATGAGATCCTCACGATTCTCTGTTTTCCTGTTATATATTTTGTAAGATTACCTTCTAGTTATAACACTAGAATCTTGGAGACTTTTAGACTATTTTCCACACAATTCCCCATTCCCTTCTAACTGATGTGATAGGGAGGAGCACAAAAAGGTCACGAGAGGGAACTGTATTTAAAGTGAAGAACTCTCACGACCTCAAGAACATCCAAGTTGACCAGTGTGGAGATGGCACGACCTGAATCGTAAGCCAAAAACAGAGTAACCATATTAGCAGAAATGTCTACAGGCAGTGACAGCTCCTAAGGTGAAAATTGGTTTGAAGCAAAAGCTTAACAACACTGCAAAAAGTGCCAAACGGGCTTGAAAAAAAAGTGAAAGATTAAATGCAGACAAAAACGCACACGGAAAAGCTGTAGTAAATGAGACAAAAAATATAGGTGAAATGTAAAACCAGGCTAAAAGCAATTTGGAAAAAAAAAGATGCAGTGTAAAGCACAACAAAACACCCACGCGCGATATGCACTGATATATAAAATAGCATATCCACGTTTAAAAATGTGTACACCAGGTCGGGTTCCCACTTTTCAAAAACACGCACGAATAAGATAGTCTCTGCTACAAAACTATCATAGAAAATGAAATTTTGTACGTGGGTAAACTTAAGAAGAGTTTTCATTTGTATCAACATTTACTGAACAATGTGCTTTCTTTCCATTTCCTCCACGAATTCATATACATCTTTACTAGCCTTTGAACATTACGAATTAATAATTTGCTAAAAAGAGACCCCAGAAAATACTTCACCAAGCATTAGTTTCGTAAACATATGAGCAAAAAATACTTATTCACCCCCTATCCCCATCTCACCTTTCCCACTGTTATCAGCAACATTGGAGCCAGATGCAGCCACTCTGATCAGTTTACCTCCTGTCATGGTGTCGACAGTACCTTCTTTGCTTGCCACATCTCTTCTTCTTGTCGTCGCCTTGGTAAAGTTCTCAAGCTTTAACGTGTGGAATAATTCATAGTAATAATAGAGCCGTGTGCACGATCTATTTGAGAAGAATTTTAAGATTGAATTATTTGGAAGACTAAGTAATTCTTCTATATACTTACAGGAGATAGATTATAAGACACCTTTTAAAAGATATTGGGCACGGCCTGAATAAGATATTGTTAGAGTTAATGATAGAATTTAGCGTTTCTTAATTAATGAATCTTTGATTGATACCTGTTTTGACTATTGATGATAAGATTCCGTAAAATTAAAGAGTACATAAAATAAAAATACTTAACCTATGCCTCTGCAAAGATGGCGGCGGCCTTGGAGTGCCCTTGCTCGTGGCGGGATGACAACAACTCGTGGGACTGCGTGAAGGACGGCGTGGCCTCGGTGCCGACGACGTGCTGGCCCCTGCACGCCAACGTCGACAAGATCCTCCTCCGGAACCCCATAAGAGAGGTCTACAGCGGCGACTTCGACCACGAGAACCTGCGCAATCT